AGAGAGAGAGAGAGAGAGAGAGAAGGCAGGCGAATTTGACAAGTCAGAAAGACAGATATACTCAGTAACTATTTTTCTTTCGGGCAGGCCAAGAGAGAAGCTTGCAAGCTGCGCAGATTCGCAAATGGAAATGAAGCTTTTAGATTCCCAAGCTCAAAATATATTCATTCTATTATATAATATACGTGTACAATTGAAACGGTTTAAGACAGCCAGCCTTTGTTTAGGAGAAAAGTGGTTATCTTAGACAGATGGACGTCTTACACAATGTGATTATAATGAAAATGAAAAAAATAGGTGAAGGAGGAAACTGGAAGTGACCGTTTGAGCAGGGGATTGTCTTACACAGGTAGCCTTCAGAGCAGGTTCAACTGTAAATAGTTATTTATAATTCTCTGAAGATACAGTCAAGCATGCCCTAACAATCATCTGTATTTTATAAGACAATCACATGTTCAAAAGGTCGCTTCCCATTTCCTCCCTTGTGTAATTTTTTTTTTTTACTTTGTATTGACACTGTGTAAGATGTCCACCTGTCTAAGACAACCACTTTTCTTCTCAACAATGAGTGGCCATCTTAGACAGTTTCAACTGTATTTTCTTTTTCTTTGTGTTGTTCAGAGGAGCCGGCAGGCTGGAAAATGCCTGTGGAGATTTTCTCGTCGAAGAAAGAAAACCACAAACAGCACAAGTCGAAACGCCTCCGCTCCTACTACAAGGCACAGGCAGAGCTGATCACAGCCTACGAGGACATTTCCCTCAATGTAGAGGTGGACATCTCACAAAATGACCCACAGGTCAGCATCTCTTCTCTCTACATTTAAACAAAATTATAGAGGTGTTTTTTACATCCCCATTGACGCAGATATCATTTAGGAGGTGTGTTTTGACACTGACTGTCAGGATCTCTCAAAATGACCCATAGGTCATAATATGCTCTTCTTTCTACATTTCTTTTTTTTAATGTAGGAGTTTTTTAATATTTTAGGAGGTGGGTTTTGACACTGCCTGTCAGATTCAGCCCGAGCTGAGAGGGATTCAACAACCCAGTAGAAAGACTGAGAAACTCGATTAATATTCTCTCCCACAGTGGAATTGAACTCAGGTCACCTGCATGCGACGGCGAAGCACCTGTACCACAGTGGTACAGGTGCTCTCCTCTTTATTCTGCTATTTTTTTTTTCTGCTTTATGATGTGGTGTGGTTTGTATGTTCTATTTAATCTAAAACTTATCTACCGTCTTGGGGACAAGTTGAATTCAAATTAAATATACGTTAATTATTACAAGTTCAAATTTTGATTATTTTTATTAGAATTTATGCCTGCATAGAAGCAGTGGAGTAGACATCCCACCCCATTTTTTAGATAAATCAGCCGTTTCAGCAACACGTTCCATTCAGTCCAAATGTCTTGTTATTAATTTTTTCTAGTTAAAATCTAATTAGATCTTAATTTTTTTTGGAATTTATGTACAACAGACAGAATAGATTTTTCATAGACTGCGTTCTAGTTTATCAAGCAGGAGGAGGACAGGCAATTAAAATTTCAGTCGTCACTGGGCAATACCTCAAACTTTTGTGTGTTGGTCGACTTTGTTACAAAATGTTCTACTGTGACTGGCATTTCATTTTTGGTCTGTTTTTTAAAAATTAATCTACTAGATCTATGTGGTTAAACATTCCAATGTTATTTAGAAAGCAAAAGAGGTTTGATTTGCAGAACAGTTAATATACAATCATATGAGCAAAATGAACGGAACTGGCAGCATAAAAGCCACAAACAAAAGGGAACAAACAACCGTAATATTCCTCGTCCAAACACTGCACGTACCTTTCAACTATCACCTAACACAAACAACCCAGAAAAACAACCCGATGCAGTTGCTATGCTATTAAACCATGTCTACGAAAAAGTAAAATATCTGCTCTGCCAGCATCCCAAACTACAGGATCTCTGATGGCAACTTTCTTCCTTCTTTTCCTATACTCTATACCGCAGCAAAGAACAAAATGTGGAAGACCTCCTCCTTTTTAGTATGGTCTAAGGCAGAATGCACATGCTCAAAGGCATCTAGATTAACAGCAACAACAAAATTTAGAAGCCAAATGACTTATCAAAATGGTTAGAGTACTTGACATCAAAAGAGGAAAGGAAAGAAGTTGGAGATATTACACTATGGAATTATCACACATGTATTTCTGAGCATAGATGTTTATAAAATAAAATAAGATAAGATATATCTTAATTGTCCAGATCCTGGCACACTGGTTTTTGTGTTTCACCACGTACACACATACACACACATAGACACGCACACAGACAGACACACACACACACACACACACACACACACACACATGCTTACGCACACATTCGCGCGCACATGTGCACACCCATATACACACACACTCTTCCCTCACACATCCTCCCTTCCACACACATCTGTGCACATAACCATAATAATATAATAGCATACTTGCACTCACAAACAGGCTCACAGTCACATGCATAATATAAATGAACAGTAAAATAAACAATAATAATTTTAAGCTAGATACGTACTGAGTATTCGGATTATAATTTGATGATGTTCTGAAGCATGTGTATCATGTGATATTTCATTGTTGGGAGGAACTGCGGGGCTATTTAATCTCTATGTCTTGCAGATGAACTAGTGTAAGGACAATGAATAAATATTGATACATTGATACGTTCTCTGTGTAGTGATTTGCAGATGAACTAGAACTAGTGAAAGGACAATAAATACTGATACATCCTTTATTTCTTTCAGGTGCATTACAAGAAGGCAGTGCTCTTTTCGAAGCTGACCTTCTTCATCAACTTCCTGCTGATGGTGGCCAAGGCGGTGGCGAGCGCTCTGTCCGGCTCCATTGCCATCATCTCCAGCCTGGTGGACTCCTCCCTGGATCTGTTCAGCGGGGTCATCATGTGGTGGGCCACACGGGCCATGAAGCAGCGCGACCCTTACACCTACCCTCAAGGTCGCACCAAGCTGGAGCCTGTGGCGGTCATCATCCTGTCGGTGGTGATGGCGTTGGCGTCGCTGCAGCTGATCCGCGAGGCCGTGGAGAAACTGATCAGCCTGACGGGGATGGACAGCTCTCTTCCCATTGTGGACGCAGTCACTTTTGCCATTGCAGGCAGCACTGTGGTGGTGAAGCTGGTGTTGTGGATTGTGTGCCGGAAGGTGAAGTCTTCCGTGGTCCGGGCTCTGGCTCAAGACCACCGCAACGACGTCGTCTCCAACACTGCTGCCATCATCTGTGGCTACCTTGGCTCACGCAACTTCAACGCGGAGACGGGACTCTACGGTTTTGCGTACGTTGACCCAATCGGCGCCATAGCCATCAGTATTTACATTGTGATCAACTGGTGGCAGACGGGCTCCGAGCAGATCAAGATGCTCACGGGACACACAGCCAGACCAGATTTCCTCAGCAAGCTGACGTGGGTCTGCGTTAACCACCATGCCAAGATCCGGCACATCGACACAGTGCGGGCGTTCCACTTTGGCAACAACTTCCTGGTGGAGGTAGACATTGTGCTCCCCGCTGACATGCGTTTGGAGGAAGCTCACGACATTGGGGAGAGTTTGCAGCATCGGCTAGAGTCCCTGGACGAGGTGGAAAGGTCGTTTGTGCACCTGGATTACGAGTTCTCCCACGACCCTCGCTCTGAACACAAGATTGTCTGAGGCAGAGGGGATTCACAAGTGACACTAGTATGTTGTGACTTCAAAAGTCATACCTAGCGGAGGAGAGGATTGATTCGAAGATCTTACGATTGCCAGTCCAGTGCCCCTATATTATGGTCGCTGAATGTAATCTGAATTCATGATTATGATGAAGGGAAGGAGGGGGAAGAGGAAGATTATAGCAAAGACATGGATGATTTTAGGGGTGTGGTGCTGTGTACAGCTCGCAGTCAGACCTGCTATTGGTCAATATATTGTCTAAATAGCTACAAGTATATGGTGCTGTGTGTGGCTCTTGCTGTCAGTGTTTATGTGTACTTCACACTGTTGCAGCTTTATAGTGCACATTGTCGCCATGACATAAGATAGTGTGCATAGAAAACACATAATCTTATACATTCATCCTATTATGAGGATTTCAAAGCTGTGGCTTTCTGAACCAAGACCTTATTTTCACCCAAAGACTGCATAATTGACCTATGCTATTATAGTGTGGCCTCTGATGAGCCAAGCAATTTACCGACAGGCCAGTTAAAGTGGCATGTATACTTTTAATGAAAAATACCTATGTGTGGATATGATGTGCTTCACGATGCAGATTTGCTTCCTGTCCTGTGTGTCCAGCATAAGGCATACAAATCATCTAAGGTCGGGAGAATGTCAGTATACAACACATGAGTGCAAGAAGAGCTGACGCCCTCCGCCATAATCAGCACCCTAACCACTGTTATTGCTTACAAAATAGATCACCTGTGATGACCATATTGTTGGCAAGCTATTCTACTGTTTCAAGCCCAGAGAGCTAAATTTTTTCAGAGAGAGATAAAAATATTTTAGAAATTTTTAACAAATTGTTATATATATTTTTGTAATTCATCTTTTCTAGCTTTTTTCGACATAATATAGAAACATTTTTGAATTTCAACCAAATATTTTGGGAGTACATGTAGCTGATACCATAGATTAAGAAACTGCAATAAAATAAAACCCAATTCAAAATTTTGGGCTTAGTACATCTGATCAAATGGCCGAAGATATGTACTATTATAGCAAATAACCACTAAACGTATTTGGGGGGGGGGGGGGCTCTCATGGCCTAGAGTGTCCCAAGTTCGAATCCACGTAGCGACGGAAAATTTTCTTCTGTAAAATTGTCTCCTTTCACCCCCTTTCCTTCTCTCTAGCAATGTTCTGTCGTTTGCTTTCACCTCCATTTTCTGCCCCTACCCCTTCACCTCCTTTGCCCTCTCCTAAGGGATCCTGACTCTTTCTGCAGCCTTTCTACTGCTACTCCTTGGTTCCTTTGCTGTCTTTCAGCCACACTTCTGATCTTATGGTAGGTAAAATCTACACCTAAACTTCTCGGACAAGGGTGAAAAATCTCGGGAGTCTTGTGTGCAAGTTGCGCATGTTAAAGATCCTTTGGTGGTCCAAAATCGATAAGAGTAGGCTTCGGCAGCCACCCAGGCAAAATTCAAAATTTCCTACCAACTGAAAATGTTTGGTGTGTCCTGCGCGCTAATACTAATATATATATATATATATGAGTCATGACCTTATGCAGGTGTGGGCGCCATAAAACACTTACCCAAAAGAAAAAAATGCCTTCTGTACCTAAACAAAGAAGGGTTTTGTGTTTTACAGCTAAAATATTTTTCTTCTTGACTTTTTTCTTCTCCTTTGCAGATTTGTGCATTGTTTTGTATCAGATCATTCTGAGAGTTCCCTCCAACACAAAAGCATAAATTGTGATCATTTCCATTGTCATATATTTCTTGTTTGAAAGGATAATATTGTTGATTGTACTGTGATACAGCTCAACAGTTGGAGGTTCCTGATGAGGTATTGGAATTGATAGCCTGATTGTCAAAGTGTTGGTGCAGGTGTGTTCTTATATACGGGGATGCCATTTCGTTTTAGGAGGATGGGTATTTTTCCCCTTTATTCTGTTATTTTCAGTGAAAGAAGTTTAGAAAAACAGTTATTTTCAGCAATTTGTTTTCTGTTTAACCTCATATTGGTTGTGTCTGTTAACCCTTAACTGCCTCTTTGTTTGCAAATGCAGCTTCTTAATTAAATTTTCCATTATTTTCACGAAATCCCCGTGGCATACCAGTGAGATGATCAAAGTTCCTTTAGCAAAGCTAATTGAAAATTCTCAGTGTTCTTCCCAGGCACTCTTGTGCTATCCTTTTTGTGTGTGATTGAAACGCTTTCTGATTTCATGATAGTTTAATTTACGAAAATGTTTGTTTAAGTCCTGAATTTTCTATAGCCTTGTGACATATGTTTATGAATTTTCGTACACATTTGTGATTTACTTAACTTTTATTTGGACAGAAAAAATCGTTAAGAGATAAAATTACGGTAGAATCTGTTTTACCCAAATTTCCTGTACTGTTACCACGAATGGATTTCAAATCCCCGGTTGCTGTTTTTTTAAATTTTTCATTCTATGCATTGCAGCTTTTCTTACCACGAAATCTTCATAAACAGGAAGAAATCATCTTATCCTGTGAAATTTGTGTTATCAGGTTTCACTGAAGATATATTCTCAGTCTGTGTGTTATAAAATAAGCACAAATTTTTGGGTGGTTATATGCACGATTGAGAATCTAGACGGTATATTCCTGGACGTGAAAATGAGTGAATGATGAGGGTTAGCGGAGCTGAAAAGACCAACGTTATTCTTTTCCATAATTTGCCTTTCATTGTTCCTCTTTACTTTTTTCAACTCGCATTAGTGTTGATTCAACTGCTTCCACTCTGCTGAAGTTGAAGTTGAAATGCTTAAGTTCTAGTGCTAGTTCATAGTCTTGATTATTTTCCAACTGGAGGCTCATGTGACTTTATATTAAAACAGGTTCAGTCTCTTTTCCCAGGATTCCATTCATTAGATGAAGAACTCTCGAAATAGATTCACTTGTTTTGATTTAATGACCAATTTAGTGACGTGTTTATATGTCAACTTTAGATTTTGTACCAAAAGAGGGCCCCGGCATAGTGGGTTTACCCTCTCGTAGATAAAGAGTTAAGAACTTTGCTAACCAATTTGTTCATTCGAATTTAGGAAATGCTGTTGTTCTACCTCAGTCGATTTCAAGTACCCATTTACAATTAGCTATATTGAGGAAATTGCAGTAAAGCATCGTTCTACTTAAAGATATATAATGTCATATCTTTAATTATATCATATATAATGTCCCTTGACCTTATGATTGTGCCTTAACCACTAGACTAGAACACCCTTTTGGCCTGCGGCTAAAAGTAAGTTAAAGTCAATGGCAGGACGAAGTAGTGCTGATGTTGTTGATAACAATTCAGAATTCACTGTATTTTCATTGAATTGTGACATGGCTACGAGGAACAACCACTTGTTGAAATACTGTCTGCCGACATTGTCTGATTATAATGATATTATTCGTGAGTATTAGCTCACTACTGGAGCCCCCCACTTACTTCCATCTCTTACGGGTGTGTGAGTACTCAAATGTTTTGCTCCTGCAAGTTCTCGCTCGAGTAATTTTTAAGTACTAAGGTATACGCTCAAATCTACTCGAGAACCTACTTTTTTTCACCCACTGGGTGCTTTTAATAGAAACAAATTTTTTTCTGAGCACTAGATCTATTCAAATCATTTCAGCAGTTTTGATGTTTTTGTTTTTACTTTTGTTAATATTTCTTTTTCTGCTTTTGTATCATTGTTTTTATTAATTAATTGGTAACATTAAGTTTCATACTGTGGAGTCCACTTATAAGAAGTCCGGAAAAAACGAGGTCTGTTATAAAGACCCTATTCTAAAACCCCGTTTTTTCTCTTCTTCACCTTTGTAAATAAAATACTGCTATTGCGCTATCACTACTATCAGACAAACATGTGAGTCGGTTATAGTGGAATATTGTTGCAGCTGTGCACAGTGCATAGGCCAATTATAGGTATAATGTAAAACCTTGCCAGTTGAGAAACGTGTTGGTGATCTAGCAAACAAAGAATGGGAGAGCCCATGTGTGTCAACAATGAAGGCAGGAACGACTGAGTAGGGAGGTTGTGGCATGCACAGAAAAGCAGAACGCATCGCGTGATAGGCCAGCGTAAGCCTAGTTTATATCATTAAGGCCTACCATGCCTCTCACTTCTCCGATGTAGGGATGGAGAGGTCACAGTGCTGTGATGGATGGAGTGAATGTGTGAAGTGTGCCAGCAGACGGATTGCACTACAGGGTGTGGTGGTGTGGGAGAAAACACAGTGGGCAAGTTAGCCTAGAGCCCTTTTTTTCTGATCGCCAAAGCCGAGCTGTCAACATCACTAGTGCTAGAGAAAGAAACCTGATTCGATTTTTGATCAAGTAAGACCTAGAGGTCATGTTGGGCAAAATCATCATCAGGGGAGATAGTCATATAGCAAAAAGAATTAAACAGAACACCAAACTCATAGATTAGGCCTACTTTATTATTTCCCGTGAATTTATTACTGGATCCCTTATAGCGAGAATCCTGCTATAACTAACGGACATTTTGCACCGGTCCCCTCCCTGTCGTTATAACAAGATTCCACTACTGTATCAGCAAATGATACATTGAGCATGTGCTATGGATTAGATAAGTCAGATGCTTGAGTACCCGCTCAAATATTTCTTAATTACTCACATTCAGAGATTGGGAGTCCAAAAAACTGGACTCATACACCTCTACCATCTGTTGCCATCAGTCAGAATGAAAGACCATAGATACAACGAAGTGGGCCCCTAAAGTGCAATGATTGTGCATCTTGTTATCTCTTGCCACTTTTTCTCTAAGAAGAGGGATGACCTGGTCATTTTGAGGTTGTGCGAAACAGATCTCAAAATCACTGGTGGTTAGAAACAAATTTTACACTTTTGTTGGGAGGGCCCTGCCTTTAATACTTTGCCATCACAAGACTCATATAGTGAAAACCCTTGCCATCAAAGACAAAGGCATTTAAGGGGAAATCCAAAGAGACAGGGTGATAAATATCGCCAATCGGTGAGATGTGACGGCAAAGTGTTAAATCGACTCAAGAGGTTCCATTTTTGTTCATTTGTTAAGATGCACATCGCCTGTCTTAAATCATGCCTTCTGATGCTCACTATGCCTATGCTTTGTTTTGTTTAATATCTTCTCATTTTTAAAATGTAAATAGGCTATTTGTGACTGTACAGTTGGAGTGGACGAGTACAGCGTCTGCCCACTACTCTGATAATATGTGAGGCAGCGTGGTGAAATCAGGCGCTCGGCAAAATTAACGAAAGCAGAGAAACAGGCATTTTTCCGCCAGTGTGGACATTTTTATCAAATTTTTATTTTTTGGCTTAACCTCTTTATTGTCCATATAAAAACACATTTCCATGTGAATTTTACTGAAAAACATTGATTAAATGCTCAAAATATGTCATTTTTCTGTTTTCAAAGACTCTCTAGCTGTTGAAGTCACCAAACTTTGGTGGCCAATTTCTCACTTATTTAACCACTGAAACCAGGCGACGTCACTTCCTTCAATCACAGATATCTAGAGTTCTATCCAAGATACTTACATATTTATTTCATTTGAAGCAAGGCAAAGAAATCCGCTTTCAGATGATACCAATAACTCCACATGCCTAAAAATTGACAAGGGCCTGATTCCACCACGTTGTGACTCATTATAATATACAAATCATAAGCGAAATGAGCGGTTGCTCTGTTTACCCAGTCTGTAACGGTGGATGTCAACATGAACTTTTGACAGAAGTTTCGCTCGTTCGCCAAGTGGTGGCAACCCATTTGTTGGTTATACCATATAGCACTCGGTCTTCCTTGTCTGACTTATATTCATTTTGTTTTACAGCCCCCCCCTCCCCCCCCCCCCCCCCCCCCCATTTTCCCTTTAAAAGAAAATAGAAATCATTTTAATGAGCCTTGTTTGTTGCAGACCTAGGCCTGTGACCACCTCCTATTGAGACCTCAGAAGGGAATGGTCAGTTTTCTTATTTTTTTAATC